GTGGCCGATGTCCGATATTCAGTTTTCAGGCCGATACCGATAGGGGGCCGATTATATCGTGCATCCCTAGTTGGATCTGCTATTTCGAGGTTCTGATGATAAGCGGACGAAGAAGACCTGCCTGGACCTGTACCCTGCATCCAGGTTCTGATGTGACGACCCGTGTCATCAATGCAACAGAAACATTACATGTGATGATGTCATTTAAAAACTGAAAATAGGTTTTTACTGCATCAGCTGTGGGCCAGAACTTGTTGAATGGAGCACCCAGTATCTGGGCTTGCTGTTTGTGCTGAACTCAAAGCAGAAACGCATCAGAACTTTTTTTTTTTTTTACATTTATGGATGTTTTCAATAATCAAGCAGCCTGATTTTGAAACATTTAGAGCTAATCTGACTGTCAGATTTCAGAAGGTGGTTCTGGATCAGAAACAGAACCCAGTCAGAGAGATCAGACTGAATCGGGAAGATTTACCGAACAACGAGGAGCAGCAGAGAAGCTGCAGACTCACTTCCTGTTGGTTGATCCGAGGCTCCGTGTTGTTATCTTCCAGCTACAGAAGCAGCAGCACTCCGTTCTGATCCAATCAGAGGCCGTCTGTACTGGGCGGGATCCGGACAGGCCCGTCAGGCTGCAGCTCAGAGGCAGGAGGCTTTAGATGAGTCATGCTGCTGCGGCGCCATGGCAACAGAAATGGGGTGAAAGAGGGGAGGGGGTAGGACGATGCTGAGTCAGAGGAAACTTCCAGATCAGAAAAGGATCCAGCTCCCCCTGCAGGCTGCTGGTTCTGATGGTTCTGATCAGATTGGAAAGGAGCTGCTGATCCAGCACAGGGCCGTTTAACAGCAGGTTCTGCTAACAGGGCTTTTCTGATTCTGCAGATCACTGATTCTAACAGAATCGACCCAGGTTCTAACATCTTTTCTCTTATTTAGAATAACATTGTTTTCATGAAACATAAAATGAATTCCTTCTAACATCCTGGCTCTATTTATCTGTTATATATTAAACATATAGGAGCCGAAAGATGAAAGTAATTTACTTTGTTTTGATAGAATTACCAATGTAAATCTATAAAGGGGAAAACTTCACTGATATTGGGTGTTTTGGCCCAGAGGGGCAAAGAGTTTTTGGCCGCAGTAGTTTGGCTGCATTTTCTTGATTGTTAAATGCAAGCAAAGGGAAGAATAAATGTCACAGAACCTGCAAACCAAGAAACATGAGTGGACAATCAATATTTTAAGGCAACTAATGGTGGTTGGGTGCATCAGCTTTGTTCCAGGTCATTATTCTCAGTAGCTCAGCAGTAGGCTTAACTCCTTTAAAACATCTTTGTAAAGTTAGAGGAGCATTTCCAACTAACTCTATTGAACAAAATGGATCTCTCCAAAGGGGTGCTGGGAGAGAAACCAGTTCTATAGAACCTGAGGCGGAACTGGATCTGGTCGACTGCAGCCTGGGTCACAGGAAGGAGAACGGATCAGCTGGTTCAGGAACTTTTAGCTTCACTGGGTCACAATGTTTCATTGGCTCCTTCAGTTCAGAGATTTAAGAACAAAGTAGTCCAAACAGCTTTCTGCCCGGTGACAGATGATGCTGGGTGGACAGTCCTCTGGAATGCTGGATATGGATTATTGGACTCAGTTCCGGTCCTTTGAACCTGAAATAATTTGACCGTATTCATGGTAACGGATCTGTCTCCTACACGAATTCTTTATTCATAAAGAATTCATAAACTTTGGCTTTGCTTTATAGCTACGCCATTGCTTTTTTTTAGTCATATATTTTTTATAACTTTATAATCCAGATGTGAGAAATTGTTTCCATTTTTATGGGACTGAGACGGAAGTGAAAATCATCTGCACAGATCTGCTCATCCTGTCTAGTCGGAGACTAGTACGCAGTCAGTGTGACTTGGTGAGCCGTTGGTTCTGTTCAGCACATCTGAGATGGAATGGGATTTTTTAAATGGAAACGGATCAGTACCTAATTGGGCAAGAACCTGCTTGCTACCTAGACCGGACCGCTAATTTATTACATCTTATTGAGTTGTTTTGGCTGTTTTTCGTCTTATGAGGTGCTGTTGGTTGGACCAACTGAGAAAAATTATTGAAACTGTTATTCTGCATCTCTCTAGGTGTTCTGTGATTTATTGTGTTTGGGAAGATTTGTAGCTGTGACCTTTAAATTAGAATTAGCCTTCAAGTTTTTTACCTAATTACCAGAAACGTATAATTGCGATGTTTAGAGTCCACTTTTGAATGACACAAATACCAAATAACAGTCAAAAAAAATTTAGATCAGAAATCAACCTTAATGTTTTATTAGTTGGTTAATTTAAGATTAGCCCACAATGAGTTCTAACTGATGAGCTGCAAACAGGCTGGCCAAAACGTCTGAACATTTTTGTTGTGTCAGCTTGTTCAGATCCCTTTTTTATTCTCTATCTGACTTTACTTGAAGTAGTGAAGTAGGGCTGCTTCGCTTTGTTTAGCTTTTTGCATTAAGGAATAACATGCCTGCAGTTCTAGTTTTGGGAATCGCGTCCATGGTGCGTAGTATAACGTTGCCGCTGCAGGCTAGCATGTCATCCTCCATAACGTTGATTAACGAGCCCCTTAGACACTGAGACGGGAAGGGGGAAACGCAGGCTAACAAAAGAAGCCAAACGACCCCCATGTCCGTTTCAATTTGCATGTTTTCAAAACAAAAACAAAGGCTTTGTTGGGCTACTGTATAAAACCTCGAACTCAACGCTATTCCTGACATTTGGAATTGGAAAAAGCTTCTCTGATGGGAAGCGAAACGTCTTCAAGCTTGGAGACGAAGTCTAGTGGATTGTTTTTGATTTTCGTTTTGTTTTGTTTTGTTTTTTTGTTGGAATGACTATGACTTGGATGACTGATAATCTTCACCAGTTGATTAACAAACACTGTTGGAGGGTTGATTTTCTTTTTTACTGTATGCTTTAACAGATTTTTACTGCTCCCTAGAGCGGATGTAAAAAAATCCACCGATTATTACTGTTGCTGATAAAGTTTGCTTGATAATTTGGACATTAGCGTTTGCCTACTATTTTTAGACGTTTCTGGAGATTCTGATGCATAGACCAAGATACTAAATATCTTTTCTCTTTTTTTTTCTTAGATTCCCAGCAAGGATGTTGCACTGAGCATGCTCAGTGTGCTGATTGTCACCATGGCGTTGCTGAGTAGCAGCCAGGCCTGCAGCAGTCAGGAAAACTGTGCAGCCAACAATGAATCCAAAGCCTACTGTTACTCAGCCCGCATTCGCAGCACGGTGCTACAGGGGCTGCCGTTTGGAGGCGTGCCCACCGTGCTTGCCCTCGACTTTATGTGCTTCCTGGTGAGTCTTTGTTAGGAACGCAGAATCCTCTTGTCTTTAACTCTGAGTAAAATATTCACCAAGGTGTTTGTAGTTTCTGGATGTGGGGATTTCTGATACAGAACTTTGACACAATAGAAATTCTACTCAAACGGTTCCTCCACATTGTGTGTGGCATTATGCTAAAATATATGCAGGGCTAGGAGGAACAAAAAAGGTAAATCAATTTTGTATGAAATTATGAAATTTCCTATTAACTAAATAAATTAAACATTTAATGTGTAATTCAACAGTTAAATGTACCATTAAGCTATGAAATTAAAATTTAATCTAATCTGCCATTAAATACTATTAAACTATACATTCTAAGTAATGACATTTAATATTTGTCTTTCAATAAAATAATATATTTCACATTTACATTTCATAATTTTGCTTTACTTCATGGGCAGCAGAATAATCATGAAATTATTTAAACTGTCCATTTCACCGATCATTCTGAAAGGGCCGGACTGGAGCCACTTCCATAGAAATAGTTTTTTTTTATTTTTTATTTTTATAAACTTTATTATTTACCACACACAACAATACAAAACTGCATTGTGAACATATCACAGAACAACAGAAACATTTGCCAGGGGGAGCATTAACAGAAAACAATAAAAGTATAATAAGAAATGACAAAATACTCTTGTTTAAAGAAAAACGGTACCAAAGGTGACAAAAATACCAGATGCCACAGTGAATTACCACAATAAATTATCTAAAATTCCCATTTGATTGCAAGCCAATAAAGTTGTTTTTGCTTTTTTATTTGTAGAAGGTCGAATTGTAAATATATAATGTTTAAATTCAATCAGAAAAACTTAAAAGTCAGTTTTTTTTCTCAAAAATTTGCATTTATGAAGATGAAAATTTAGCCTTTTTTTTTTTTTTTTTTTTTGCTTTAGTGGCAAGTCCATGTAATATTACAGAATAAATCAAACATCAAACACAGATATACAACTGTTGGTGACATTATAACTTTAAGAAAAACGAGACATAGAAGGTAAGAAATAAATAAAAATAAAACAAGGGAAACAAACAAATAAATAAAATAAACATAAAATAATAATAGCTAGGGGTTTACATTAAGTTTACGGTCATTTACAAAAGTGTATAATTTTATACCATTTTTCTTAAATTTAAGTGATTGAAAATACAAAGTTCTTTAAGAAAAACGTTGAAGGTTGGCTTGGTCCTCATGTATTTGTTTTTGTAAATGTAAAGTTTCCCCATCATGAGTAAAATTTAGCCTTAATTCCATAGAAATAGTTTAGATACCAGATCTGCTCGAGTCCTGCTTCATGCCAGTGACGTTACGCTACACGATTGGCTGAACATTGCCACATGATGCTAAACACAGTGATTGCCCAGACAACAATAATCATGCTGCATCCGTTAGCGTGTCTAATGCCGATTAATTTTTACCTGATCGATAACAAAACTGAAAAAAATCTGTTTATGGTGAACAAAGTAACCGCAAGAACATCATATAAAGGGGGGGAGCTGGGTAGCGCTGTAGCTAGCTGTGCTCAGTAGCTAACAGGTTAGCCTCTTTTAGCTCGGTCAGGTAGCCATATTAAGCTACTCTACTTTTGAATTTATATCAACAGCAACTCTTTGTTTTCTACAAGTAGAATAACTGCTTTCTTTGTCTAAAATCTCTATAAATGTCATTTTTTAGGATGGTCCATTTTTCCTACCCTGCTTTGAGATAGCCTCGTGAGACCGAGCTTTCAAGATTTCACTCGCAGATCAGTCTGGAGACTCTCCGTTGAAGAAAATTTGGAGCCGTTCACCAAACGAACGTCCAATCAGCGTTGGCTTTGAGGCGGGTTGAGGTGTGACGCAACAAGAAGCGCGACAGTTCAGTCTAAAGAACATGGCGGCTTCAGCCGATGAAACTAGCATTAGCGTGGCTATCGAGCGAGTTTTATCGGAAGTACTCTATTTCTTCACTGAAAGAAGAGCAAAACACTGCTCTGGAGGCTTTTCTCAGAGGAAAAGATGTTTTTGCTGTTCTCCCGACTGGTTGCGGCAAGAGTAGCCTGGCTGTTAGTACGTCATATGCTTCGTTGATCTGATTGGTTTATTTGGCCCGTCTATCACCAACATAGGCCAATCAGCTAACCAGTATTTTCGCCCCTTCCCAAAATTACTTCAACCGAAGGTTTCCAGATGGATATGCGGAGCAAATCCATCTGGCGGAGTCAGGTTAGCTTTGAGATCTTAATAATAAGAATTAAGATTGCCAATGAAATAGGAAATATAGATAATAATATGTTGAAACTCCAAAAGAGATTTGTTGCTTCAGAAACGTTGTAGGTACCAAATCAGAAAGACAAGATCACTTTTTTTTTTCATACATGTTCCAATGTATTTACAGTTCCTGGGTGAGCAAATCCAGCCTCTATATCCCTAGTTTGATTTTTAAAAAGTTTCTGAGAGAAAATGAGGCGGTGTTGATCAGTGGGCGGGGCAGGAGGAAACGCATGTCCCCTCATTGGTTCCCACCTGGCCGCCCATTAAAACATTTTCTGGCTTCACTCCTGCAGACAGCTTTCTATATTTTTAAGACCAGCTGGTCCAGGTGTAAATTAGTATTAGTGCTTTGCTTTGATCTTTCCTCTCTGAGTTCTGCATTTTTCCTCTTTGAAAAAAGTAATTAAAGAAACAAGCTAATTAAATGTTTATTTATAATAATTTCTGAATTGTGTCTCTGCATGCACAGAACTTTATGAGGTCTGAGGGCTTCACATTTCATTCACTAATTCATACGCTGCTCCAGTTTAGATCTACTGTTACCGTTTCCCAGTTTATAACATGCAGCATTGGTCACTGATACAGACACAGAGAGCCAACAGCTTACTGCATCTCTGTAACTTATGCAGAAACCAGTTCACTTTCCTGTCAGTTATCTGAACCCAAACCATTTCTGTTTGTTTTCTAAGCTTCATTTGATTACTCGTTCATGACTTTCTCTGAGGAACCAAAGATCTTCAGAGGATCTTTAATCAAGACTGTGAATTAAACACAGAAAAGCTTGGAACGATTTGCATTTTTATTTTACCTTAGAGCAGAGCATCATGAATCCATTGAAGGGATCTGAAGGAATGGACCATGATTTACACGATCGTTGATCCGCCAGACAGATCTGAACTCACTCCTGATTGGGATCCTCTTTAATGTTTGGGAAGGCATGGGAAGAGCTATTCTATCACACCCTCTTCATAAATCCTAATGCTCTTCTTCTCCTTTAGGTGCTTCTCTTCGTCTTCTCCATCCTGAGGAAAGTTGCGTGGGATTATGGCCGCCTGGCGCTGGTCACAGACGCAGACAGGTAAACGTGTTCAGGAAATAAAGGCAGAAGTCTGCAGAGTTTATCACTGTGGTCTCATCATTCCCACCTAGTGACTGCCGGTTGTTGTTGCTTCAGTGGCCACACAAGGCAACATAGAGCATACCGTCCATGCTAGTGATTAGCTGGGGTTCTCCTTCTAGGGAGTGTATGTTGTTCCATTATTGTTGTTTGTTGGAAAATTAATCCAGGAATGAAACTTTAAACAATTTCTAAACCCAAGAAAAGGCTCTGTTTGCTTTCGCAGCTGGAGTTAAAATTTCTATATAGAGGGCAGATCTGGAGCAGAGCGAAGTCGAGCGAGGTGAAGGTGGCGAATTTAGGGAGGCAAACTGGCATATTGGTGGAGTTGGCGACATTTGGGCGCCTCCTCGCCTGCGATTGATTATGAAAAATCCGAACTATTGTCTACATCCTTGTTGCAAAATCCAGTAAGGTACTAGATGTACAATAGCTATGAGCTACAGTGAACGAGCTTTTTTAAATTAAAAATGGAAGGAAGAGAAAATAATGTTGCCATTTTCCTTTCATCTCCCGCTGTTAGCATAGAGCAGTGATTCCCAACCAGTGATTACTCGTACCCCTAGTGGTCCGCCAGTGCA